CGTATCTTTGATAGTATGCCTACAGTCTTGGAAATTTTTTTAGAAATTTGTTGTATATGTGTATGAAATTTGAGTCTATTATCAAGGTGGATTCCTAAGAATTTTCCCTCTGTTAGCTTTGTGATAGGTGATCCGTTTATCATTATGTTAAGAGGGACATCTGTAGCTCTGTTACCAAACTGAATGAAGTAGGTTTTGTCAATGTTTAGTGTAAGTTTGTTAGTCCTCATCCAGGTAGATATTTTCTGTAATTCGGTATTTACAGTATTGGCTAGCGTGACTGGGCTCGGGTGGGAGAAGACGTATGTAGTGTCATCTGCAAATAGTGTGGGTTTGAGTAATTGCGAAGCATTTGCTAGGTCATTTATGTATAGGAGAAAGAGAAGAGGGCCAAGGACACTTCCCTGTGGGACACCAACTGTAATTGGTTGTGCAGAAGAGTTTGCCCCATTTGCGTACACATATTGGCTTCTGTTGCTGAGGTATGACTTGAGGTAGTTGAGAGAGTGCCCTCTTATACCATAGTGTGACAATTTTACGTGGAGCAAGTCATGGTCAACTGTATCAAAAGCTTTACGTAAGTCAATGAAGATCCCCAGTGGGACTTCTTTTTCTAGGTGTAATATACCGACCTCCAGGCTTGGATCACGATAGAGGGAGACTTCTTTGGGACAAAATTGTTAGGGCTTCAGGACACAATAACATAGCCATAGTAGGGGACTTTAACTTTAGTCAAATTGACTGGAATTCTTTGACAGGTAATCTAGAGTCCAGTGACTTTATGGAAACAGTTCAGGACTGTTTTCTGAAGCAGAGCGTGACAGAGCCTACCAGGGGTGATAATTTGCTAGACCTAGTCTTGTCAAATAAGGAAACACTCGTTAATAATCTGGAGATCACTGAAGAGCTTGGCGCAAGTGATCACAAATCCATCACTTTTAGCATTGACTGAGAATGCAAGAATAATGATATAGTAAAAATCCCTGATTTCCGTTCTGCCGATTATAATGGACTTAGGGAACATCTGTCTAATCTTGATTGGGGTTATCTAGCTAATGATTTTATTAGCAATGATCATACTTATGATTATGAAGGGATCTGCTTTTATGATTTTTTCTTAATAATATATATCATGCCCAGAGTATATACATTCCCCAGAGAGATATTAGGTCTAATAATAACGATCCCAAATGGGTTAACAGTAGGTTAAAGCATCTATTAGGGGAGAAAAGGGGAATTTATAGGCGCATCAGAAGAGGAGAGGTTGACCTTACTGACCAGTATGTTCAATTTAAAAGAGAAGTAAAAAAAGGGATTAGAAAGGCTAAACGTGACTATGAAATTAGAGTTGCTAGTGAATCAAAAACTAATCCAAAGGGGTTCTTTCAAGTGTATAGGATGAAGGTGAAGGAAAAAGTGGGACCTCTGAAAATTGGGAATGGACAGCTGACGGATAATGAACTGGAAATGTGTTCCTTTTTTAATGACTATTTTTTGTCAGTTTTTAAAGGGGTTTTTGTAAATTAGTTCCCATAAAAAAATTTAGTTCTGATGTTTTAGTTAACTAAAATTTAACTGCCCCACGAAAGGGCCTTTGGTTATAAAAATAGACAAATAAAAAAAAGCCCCCGGACCCATGATTTTGAGGGTACTTAAGGAATGAAAGATGGAGCTTAGGTAACCCTTAAGGTGTTTCATGCTCCATCCTTATGGGTTGTCCCAGATTGTGGAGATGGTTTAAATTGGGGTTCCCAAATTTCAAATCGGGGGAAAGTCCCCCCTTCAAATTTACCGCCAATAAGCCGAACTATAGTGGGCAAGTTTTTTAAAATCAATTATAGCTGACATTATCAGAACCCCTTTTGAAGGCATAACTTGTAAATAATCTCGCATTGATTACGAGAGGCGTTCCTGCCTGACAAACTTACTACGTTTTCTAGAACTTTGGGGCTTTGACAGTGTAAGGAATAGATATTTTTTATTTGATTTTAGAAAGCCTTCGATAATCCCTCACAAGAAAACTTAAGAAAAGTGGCAGCCAGGTATAGGGGGAAAAGTTCTAGCATGGATTGGGGCATGGCTTACCAAAAAAAGCAAGAGTTACCATTAATTGTGAAATCAAAGGGGGTTTAGTCCTATGGCATTCCACAAGGATCATTTTTAGGCCCCCTTTTCAAATTTTTCATTAAGACCTTGATGAAGGGTTACGGTGACATGATAAATTTTGCTGAGATAAAAAATACCGTATTTCACTCGGGGAGATATAATGAACTCCGGAAAAATTTTTAAAAATTAATGTTTTGGTCTGAAAAAGGGCAATAAATTTAAATGGGATAAGTGTAAGGGACTTCCCTTGGGAAGAAAAAACCCCAAGCTAAAACTAGGTGAAGTAAGCTTATCATACAGAAAGTGAAAAAGTTGGGATCTGGGAAGCAGAAACTAAAGCCAAGACGCATGCCCCAGTGGCCAACAAACCAACAGATTACTTGGTTTTTTCTCAAGAAGTATAAATAACAAAGCCAAAAGTTTTTTACAGCCCCTTTACATCCTATGAGGCCTCTTTAGATTATGCGCCATTTTGGTTTCCCCCTTACTCGGATGGATAAACTCATTTAAAAACAAAGAAGATGACTAAAAATGATTCTGTGAAGGAACCCCCCATGAAGAAGACTCAAAACCCTTTAAAACCCCCTCTTGGAGGGCGTAGAATGAGGGGGGAATATATTGAATGTATAAGTGGATGCGGCAAAACAAAGGGGGGGGGTATTAATAAAATATGAGGTGTCAAACCCGGTAAGAACCAGGAATAAGATTTAAGTTTGGGTAAATTTAGATTTTGAAAGGGCATAGGGAAGTACGGTTTTTAAAAGATTTTAGTGCGTGGGGCAGTCTTCCCGTGGGGGGAAAGAGCTAGGCCTTGGGGACTTTAAGAAGAATGGCAAAAATTTTAAATGGGAGGGGCTGGGTTTGATTGGTGTCATTGGGTACGGGAGTTATTTCTTGGGAAGCTTTAGGTAGTAGTCGTTTTGATAAGGACCTGCCTTGCATGGGCCAGTAGGCCTTCTGCAGTGTTCCTCCATTCTTATGTTCTTATGTTCTAAAGAAGGTGACACTAATGCACAAAACAGTGCCTTACCAACATAAGAGAAGAATCCTTCGTTGATTTTGATGATTTAATAGATTGATTTTGATGATAGATGATTTTGCATAATTGAAGGCAAGGAAATGTAGGATCAGATTTACTGTGATGTTACCTGTATTCAGGGTCAAATGTAAGATCAGATTCACTGAGATGTTACCTGTACTCAGGGTCATATCGGAACTAGTGTTTCTCTGATATTGCAATGTTTTTCTCTATTTTTCAAATTTTTTTTTTTTTTTTTGGCATTGTTGAAGATGAATAAATGTAGGATCTGTTGCCTGTACTCAAAGTGGTATTTGAGTTTGTTTCCTCAATATTACTACGATTATTTATTTATCATTAATACAGTTGAGAAGTATTCTCCTGTTTGGTTTATGGCCCTTAAATGTTCTCATTGCTAAACATTAGTCACTGACTGGGCATGCAGTAGTTACATGACTAGAGTGTACCCCCCATCCCCCCACCCTTGAATTTCATGGGGGTGACACCAAAGATGCTGCCCCGGGTGACACCAGAGATTCTGCCCCGGGTGACACCAACTCTAGCAATGCCTCTGGTGGAGAAGACAGCATGGGTTTGTGTAAACATAGCAACACATGTGTAGATTACCCAGAATAATCCAAGAGAGTCAGATAGTGTCTTATTTCCATGTGGGTGGTGGGGAAGACAGCATGGGTAGTGGGGAAGACAGCATGGGTGGTGGGGAAGGCAGTGTGGGTTTGTATAAACATGTTTTGTAAACAATATAATGATAATGTTTGCAGTTACACCTACCGTCCAACTTACGACCGAGTTTGGTTCTGAGAAACCGGTGGCAAGTCGAAATGGTCGTAAGTCGAACTTTACTACTGAATATCAGCAAAACATTTTTGTAATGACTTTATTTTATTGTTTTATTTTGGTATTTCATGTTTTACTTTACTTTTTATGTTGTTAGTACTGTATTTTATACTGTAAGGTTTAGGATAAACACTGTGTACAACACAAATAGTTGTTTATTTCCCAGAAATTTGGCATAAAAAACACGGTCCTAAGTCGAGTGGTCGTAAGTCGAGCAGGTCGTAAGTCGGATAGTAGGTGTATTTTGTTGTATACATTGAGTGGATATGTATACATTATGCATTATGTTGGTCTCATAAGCCACAAAAGTTACTTGAAAAAACAAAATATTAGAAAAGAAAAGAAAAATCTAATGAAGGTAAATATAATATCACCGAGTGAGTGGCAGTCGCCGATGTTGCTGTAAGCAGTTCACTTTCTGTCAACTTCACACCTCTATATCTCGGTAAGTACTGATCACAGTTTTTTATTTTTCTTTTAAAACACTCAGAAAAATATTCTTAAGATTTTGGTAAGAAATAATTTCAATTTTTTTCGAATATTTTTCAACACAGTGAGTTCAGGGTCAGGGGTCTCGACAGTGAAGGGGTCAATATATGATAATGTAACCTTGTTATCAGGCTTTTATATGCATTTGAAAGTATAAAAAGACTACATTTCACTTTACAGTGATTTTTGCTATACAGCAGTAGCCTGGAACCCAATGTGCTGTATAAGTGGGGCCTTTATGTATTAAAAATATTTTCACATTAATAAAATCTCCTGTTCTGTATGTGAAATATTCCAATAAAAACAATTCAAGATAGAATGTAATAATTATTTGTGGTATATAGTACCGACATGTTGATAAATGTCACATTAGCAACACTTGCTCAGTTGGATACCCACTGAGGAAGCCTGTTGTATGGACGAAACATTTCAGAAGTACAGATACCCAAGCATGACATACTGGGTCTATTTATCAAGATAGAATGCCTTACTTTGACAAACCTGTGTAATATATTTTTTCACGTGACAGACTTGGGACTGATGGTGCTAAATCATGGGAGGAGCAACTCAAACCTCTCAATGAACAGATATCAGCAATCAGAGCAGCAGCAGGTGAGTTGAAAATATTACTTCATAACTAACCCACAAATACTAAATTAAAAGTGGGACATTATTCAGTCATGTGCAAGAAAAAGAAGTGAAGATGGTAATCAGGGCTGAAAGATGAGGGTATGGCCGGTATCAGGTCATCCCAAGTAAGTTTGATGATTATAGATAGAAGTCAAGGCTTAAGGTTACATTAGGTTTGTTGTTCATAAGGCTCGATTCAACAATAAAGCATCTCTGAAGGCTTGAAGAGAGAAAATTATGAATGAGGATCACATTATTGGTGGTTATTATCATTAACCCTTTGACTGTTTTGGTCGTATATATACGTCTTACAAGGCAGTGTGTTTGATGTATATATGCTCAAAAATTCTAGCGGCTTCAAATCAAGCAGGAGAAAGCTGGTAGGCCCACATGTGAGAGAATGGGTCTGTGTGGTCAGTGTGCACAGTATAAAAAAAAAATCCTGCAGTACGCAGTGCATAATGAGAAAAAGAAACACCGACCATGTTTTTGGGTTAAAACGCCAACTTTGAGGTGTATTTTCCTGTAGTATTTATGGTTGTATTCTTGTTTTCTTGGTCTCATTTGATAGAATGTAAAATATATTATAGAAATAAAAGTGATGTTGAAATGGAGCTCAAAGTGGCAGAAATGTTAAATTTTTGCCGATGTTCAAGAGTAAACAAATCATGTCATTGTCCAATAAATGTCCAACTAGCCATTCTAATATGCAGTCATGAATGGGTTGATATTACTTATACAGTTATTACAATAATGCAGTAGTCTGCATAACAGTAAATCTTCTATTTTTTATGTGAATAAAAATTCAAAATAGAAAGCAGGAGGATTATAACAGGGGTCTGGAGACGTGACTAATGAACAGAAGAAATGTTATTTTAGTGCCAGGAATGTCTGCATTGTTCATTCTGGACCCTATTTTGAAACTGACATTTTTTTAATTTGCATGAAATTGGCCAAATTGCCAATTTCTGACCACTTTATTGGGTAGTTGAAATCGGTAAATGGGCAGTTTCTTGTACTCAATCGATAGAACAAATGGAGTTCTAAAGAAATAGCTATGAGTTTGGTGGACTGGAGCAATAGAATTGGCCGAAAAAAGAGCTCAAATTGGGCGAAATCACCGATGTGTAAATGTTGCCTAGGTCACTAACTTCGCGAGAACATAATTTCGTAAGTTTTCCATCAAATTTCATAATTTTGGTGTCATTACCATCGGGAAAAGATTCTCTATCATTTCATAAGAATTTTTTTTTTTTTTTTCAAACATTTTGCGACACCAGCAGATACCTCAGGATTTGGGGTTGAGACAGTCAAAGGGTTAATAATCAAATAAAGACATGTGCTCAACATTACCAAGGCAAACACTTCTGGAAGACATTGGCCAGTTTTCCCAGTGAATTATAGAGGGCAAGAGGAACAGAAAATACAATAAACATTGGAAATAATGGTGGAAGATGGGTATAGTAGGTTGCTGTGAAATATACTAGTTTGACAAAATGCAGGTTTAATATCCAGCAAACAGAATATCTTAATGAGATTCTGTAAACTAGAAATGCTAAAGCAAATGTGGAGTAGAGGTATTGTATTGTTACTGAAGAAGGTTTAGTAGAGGTGAGAGTAGAGGTGAGAGTCCTTCACCACAAGTGTTGCTACACTTAATGAAATTACTCTTTGATGATTGCCAAAATTTGAAACTGAAATTTTAGAGTTGAGAGAGGGTGCTATACTGTGTGAGAGATAGGGTGCTATACTGTGTGAGAGATAAGGTGCTATACTGCGAGAGACAGGGTGCTATACTGTGTGAGAGAAAGGGTGCTATACTGTGTGAGAGATAGGGTGCTATACTGTGAGAGAGATAGGGTGCTATACTGTGTGAGACAGTGTGCTATACTGTGTGAGAGAAAGGGTGCTATACTGTGTGAGAGAAAGGGTGCTATACTGTGTGAGAGATAGGGTGCTATACTGTGTGAGAGATAGGGTGCTATACTGTGTGAGAGATAGCATTCTATACTGTATGAGAGATAAGGTGCTATACTGTGTGAGAGAGGGTACTATACTGTGTGAGAGAGGGTGCTATACTGTGTGAGACAGGGTGCTATACTGTGTGAAAGGGTGCTATACTGTGAGAGAGATAGGGTGCTATACTGTGAGATAGGGTGCTATACTGTGTGAGAGATAGGGTGCTATACTGTGTGAGACAGGGTGCTATACTTTGTGAGAGATAGGGTGATATACCGTGTGAGACAGTGTGCTATACTGTGTGAGAGATAGGGTGCTATGCTGTGAGAGAGATAGGGTGCTATACTGTGTGAGAGAGGGTGCTATACTGTGTGAGAGATAGGGTGCTATACTGTGAGAGAGATAGGGTGCTATACTGTGTGAGACAGGGTGCTATACTGTGTGAGAGATAGGGTGCTATGCTGTGAGAGAGATAGGGTGCTATACTGTGTGAGAGATAGCATTCTATACTGAATGAGAGATAGGGTGCTATACTGTGTGAGAGATAAGGTGCTATACTGTGTGAGAGAGGGTACTATACTGTGTGAGAGAGGGTGCTATACTGTGTGAGACAGGGTGCTATACTGTATGAGATAGGGTGCTATACTGTGTGAGAGATAGGGTGCTATACTGTGTGAGAGAGAGGGTGCTATATTGTGTGAGATAGGATGCTATACTGTGTGAGAGATAGGATGCTATACTGTGTGAGAAATAGGGTGCTATACTGTTTGAGAGAGGATGCTTTACTGTTTGAGAGAGGGTGCTTTACTGTTTGAGAGAGGGTGCTATACTGTGTGAGAGAGGGTGCTATACTGTGTGAAAGATAAGATGCTATACTGTGTGAGAGAAGGTGCTATACTGTGTGAGAGAGGGCACTATATTGTGTGAGGTAGTGTGCTATACAGTGTGAGAGAGGGTGCTATACTGTGTGAGAGAGGGTGCTGTATTATGTGAGACAGTGCCATACTGTGTGAGAGAGGGTTCTGTACTGTGTGAGAGAGGGTGCTATATTATGTGAGAGAGTGCTATACTGTGTGAGAGATGGTGCTATACTGTGTGAGAGAGGGTGCTGTACTGTGAGAGAGAGGGTGCTATATTATGTGAGAGAGTGCTATACTGTGTGAGAGAGAGTGCTATATTGTGTGAGAGATAGGGTTTACCTGGAGAGGGTTTCGGGGGTCAACACTCCCCGGCCCGGTCTGAGACCAGGCCTCATGGTGGATCGGGGTCTGATCAACCAGGCTGTTACTGCTGGCCGCACGCAAGCTGACGTACGAACCACAGTCCGGTTGGTCAGATACTGACTTTAGGTGCCTGTCCAGTGTCTCCTTGAAGACAGCCAGGGGTCTGTTGGTAATCCCCCTTATGTATGCTGTGAGGCAGTTGAGCAGTCATGGGCCCCGGACACTTATTGTGTTGTCTCTCAGTGTACTCGTGGCGCCCCTGCTTTTCATCGGGGGAATGTTGCATCTCCTGCCAAGTCTTTTCCTTTCATAGGGAGAGTGATTTTCATGTGCAGGTTTGGTGCCAGTCCATCCAGGACTTTTCAGTTGTATATTATCATGTATCTCTCGCCTGCGTTCGAGGGAATACAGATCAAGGACCTTCAACCGTTCCCAGTAGTGTAGGTGCCTTATCGTACTCATGTGTGCCATGAAAGTTCTTTGTACACTCTCCATGTCTGCAATGTCACCAGCCTCGAAGGGGAGCCGTTAGTGTACAGCAGTATTCCAGCCTAGAGAGCACAAGCGATTTGAAGAGAATTATCATGGGCTTGGCATCATTAGTTTTGAAGGTTCTTATTATCCATCCTATCATTTTCCTAGCAGATGAAGTAGACACATTGTTGTGGTCTTTGAAGGCGAGATCCTCTGACATTATCACTCCCAGGTCCTTAACATTACTTTTCCGCTCTAATGTATGGTTAGAATTTGTCGTATACCCTGACACATTTTTAATTTCTTCAAGTTTCCCATGTATGAGTACTAGTTGAAAAATCTCCTCATTGAACTTCATATTGTTTTGAGTGGCCTATTCGAAGATTTGGTTGATGTCCGCTTAGAGTCTTGTGGCGTCTTCAATGGAGGTCACTGCCAGAGTAATCTGGGTGTCATTCACAAAGGAAGACATGGAGCTGTGGCTTACATCTCTGTCTATATCAGAAATGAGGATGAGGAATAGAATGGGAACAAATACTGTGCCTTGTGGAACAGAGCCTTTTACCATGGCTGCCTGGGACTTTACTCTGTTTACTATTACTCTTTGTGTTCTATTTGTCAGGAAGTTGTAGATCCATCTACCAACTTTCCCCGTTATTCGTTTATCAGGCATTTTGTCTGCTATTACACCATGGTCACACTTGTTGAAAGCTTTTGCGAAGTCTGTGTACTACATCTGTATTTTGTTTATCCTCTACAGCATCCAGGACCTTGTCATAGTGGTCCAGTAGCTGGGACAGGCAGGAGCAACCTGCTCTAAACCCGTGTTGCCCTGGGTTGTGTAATTGATTGGTTACTAGGTGGTTGGTATTCTTGCTTATTAGAACCCTCTCAAAGATATTTATGATATGGGATGTTAGTGCTATCGGTCTGTAATTCTTTGCAATTGCTTTACTGTCACCTTTGTGGAGTGGGGCTATGTCTGTTATTTTCAGTGTATGTGGGATGACCTCTGTGTCCATGCTCCCTCTCCATAAAATGCTGATGGCACGCGATAGGGGCTTCTTGCAATTCTTGATGAACACAGAGTTCCACAAGTCTGGGCCTGGGGCAGAGTGCATGGGCATGTCATTAAGAGATAGGGTTCTATACTGTGTGAGATATAGGGTTCTATACTGTGTGAGAGATAGGGTGCTATACTGTGTGAGAGAGGGTGTTATTCTGTGTGAGAGAGGGTGCTATACTGTGTGAGATAGGGTGCTATACTGTGTGAGAGAGGGTGCTATTCTGTGTGAGAGAGGGTGCTATACTGTGTGAGATAGGGTGCTATACTGTGTGAGAGAGTGTGCTATACTGTGTGAGACAGGGTGCTATACTGTATGAGAGATAGGGTGCTATACTGTGTGAGATAGGGTGCTATACTGTGTGAGAGAGGGTGCTATACTGTGTGAGAGGTAGGGTGCTATACTGTGTGAGAGAAAGTGCTATACTGTGTGAGAGAGGGTGCTATACTGTGTGAGAGATAGGGTGCTATACTGTGTGAGAGATAGGGTTCCATACTCTGTGAGAGATAGGGTGCTATACTGTGTGAGAGATAAGGTGCTATACTGTGTGAGAGATCGGGTACTATACTGTGTGAGAGAGGGTGGTATACTGTGTGAGTGTGGTATACTGTGTGAGAGAGAGTGCTATACTGTGTGAGAGAGGGTGGTATACTGTGTGAGAGTGCTATACTCTATGAGAGAGGGTGGTATACGGTGTGAGAGAGCTATACTGTGTGAGATAGGGTGGTATACTGTGTGAGAGAGGGTGCTATACTGTGTGAGAGAGGGTGCTATACTGTGTGAGAGAGGGTGGTGTACTGTGTGAGAGTGCTATATTGTGTGAGATAGGGTGGTATACTGTGTCAGAGTGCTATACTGTGTGAGATAGGGTGGTATACTGTGAGAGAGAAGTTCCTATACTGTGTGAGAGAGGGTGCTGTACTGTGTGAGAGAGGGTGCTATTCTGTGTGAGAGAGGGTGCTATACTGTGTGAGAGAGGGTGCTATACTGTGTGAGAGAGGGTGCTGTACTCTGTGAGAGAGGGTGCTATACTGTGTGAGAGGGTGCTATATTGTGTGAGACAGTGCTATACTGTGTGAGAGAGGGTGCTATGCTGTGTGAGAGGGTGCTATACTGTGTGAGAGGGTGCTATATTGTGTGGGACAGTGCTATACTGTGTGAGAGAGGGTGCTATACTGTGTGAGAGAGGGTACCATACTGTGAGAGAGGGTGCTCTACTGTGTGAGGGAGAGAAGGTGCTATACTGTATGAGGAACAGAGGGTACTATACTGTGTGTGGGAGAGAGGGTGCTATACTGTGTGTGGGAGAGAGGGTGCTATACTGTGTGAGGGAGAGAGGGTGCTATACTGTGTGAGGGAGAGAGGGTGCTATACTGTGAGAGACGGTGCTCTACTGTGTGAGGGAGAGAGGGTGCTATACTGTATGAGGAACAGAGGGTACTATACTGTGTGAGGGAGAGAGGGTGCTATACTGTATGAGGAACACAGGGTACTATACTGTGTGAGGGAGAGAGGGTGCTATACTGTATGAGGAACAGAGGGTACTATACTGTGTGAGGGAGAGAGGGTGCTATACTGTGTGAGGGAGAGAGGGTGCTCTACTGTGTGAGGGAGAGAGGGTGCTCTACTGTGTGAGGGAGAGTGTGTGCTATACTGTTAGAGAGCATGCTATACTGTGTGAGGGAGAAAAGGTGCTATACTGTGTGAGGGAGAGAGGTGACATATGTAACTTAGAATTAATGGATGGTATCATAATGGGTGGTATCATATAATGACCAGGCAGTCGCCAGATGAGCCTGGCCCATGGCCGGGTTCGAAGAGTAGTGAGGCTCTCAAAACTCATCAAAGGTATAAAGGTATGTCTTGAATCAGGTGACCTAAACCACAAAGCAAAATTATATTATCTTTCATGGAATTTATTTGAAAATAAAGCTAACAGGTAAATTTTAATTTTAGCTTTACTGAATAGTTTTGTCATAATTTTTTGTGTGTGTTTCACAGGGGAGGGTAATCCTTATATTGGTGCTGTTCTGAATGCTGTATCTGACGAGGCTCAGACTCGAGGAGTTTATACAGAAGAAGCCTTGAGAGAGCGCTTCATCAAGATTGAGAGAATTTGCAAGCGTGTCTCTATGATAGGGGATAATGGTGGCTCTCTGATTAAGTAAGTAATTTGTTGTGCATGTGTTTACAGGGGAAGACTACAAAATGCAAAGTCACTTGACCTGACAACAGTAGACTCGCATAACACACAGGATATGTTCACCAAGTCAGTACTGTATGTAGATTCATTATATATAATATAAATAACACAAGGGAAAAGTAGTTTGTGGTCTTTACACCTCCTTAAAATAGCAAACAATATTTTATAATTTTCTTTTTTTTTTTCATAAAATATAATGAGGTTTCGACATCTTACATTGATGGTATTGTTGCTTGTTGATCTAGAAATGTTTGGGGAGGGTTCATATTATGCTACAAGACCTAGTTGAATGTAGTGAGGTTTAGACAAGTGTAATAAGTCATTGTATTTAACTTTATTCCTTTATCCTAGGTTAAATCTACATAATGTTCTTTGTGTGCATAATCTGTGTGTGCCATCAGAACCATTGTAAAAACTGGTATGCTATACACTCAAAACATGAATAAAAACTTAATACATAAACTTACCTACAGAGTGCCCTGGAAGCTGGTGTTTGATGCAGTTAGTGTTTTCCTTCTTTAGAAAATAAGCAGAGCAGTGCCAGTGACCATTATAAATGTAGTGTACAATATTTTTAGTATAAAATACGTTAAAATGTAACAAAGAATTTTAGTCTACCTTATATGTCTTGTTACTCTTGCTTGTTGATATCGAAGTGTTTGGAGATGGTTATGTGACTGTAGTGACTCAGACACCTGTGGGATGGTTATGTGACTGTAGTGACTCAGACACCTGTGGGATGGTTATGTGACTGTAGTGACTCAGACACCTGTGGGATGGTTATGTGACTGTAGTGACTCAGACACCTGTGGGATGGTTATGTGACTGTAGTGACTCAGACACCTGTGGGATGGTTATGTGACTGTAGTGACTCAGACACCTGTGGGATGGTTATGTGACTGTAGTGACTCAGACACCTGTGGGATGGTTGTGTGACTGTAGTGACTCAGACACCTGTGGGATGGTTATGTGACTGTAGTGACTCAGACACCTGTGGGATGGTTATGTGACTGTAGTGACTCAGACACCTGTGGGATGGTTGTGTGACTGTAGTGACTCAGACACCTGTGGGATGGTTATGTGACTGTAGTGACTCAGACACCTGTGGGATGGTTATGTGACTGTAGTGACTCAGACACCTGTGGGATGGTTATGTGACTGTAGTGACTCAGACACCTGTGGGATGGTTATGTGACTGTAGTGACTCAGACACCTGTGGGATAGTTATGTGACTGTAGTGACTCAGACACCTGTGGGATGGTTATGTGACTGTAGTGACTCAGACACCTGTGGGATGGTTATGTGACTGTAGTGACTCAGACACCTGTGGGTCATCTGTTTATGTTTTATCACATGATGCATCTTAGTACAATTTTCTCATATGTAAGAATGATGAAAGAATTTTACTTTGTTGAAGTTTATTTGGGAGTCGTGGCAACATACACTATATTAAGCTAGAGTTGGCAGCCAGTTTTCCAGAAATGTTTCCATGCCTAAGCTCGAGGAAATTTTGTATTCAGCTTACACCCAATGTGCAAGCCTGTTCTCTTATATTTATGCTTAAATTTTCCTCTTGTAGCAGATTTGAAAGTGCAGTGAATTATGCTTACTGGTAAGTCACTGCCAATAACACCTTGAATGCATTGTTACCTCATCACCACTAACCACTTGAATGTATTGGTACACCATCATTAACCACTTGAATGTAATGGTACATCACCACCATTAACCACTTGAATGTATTGGTACATCACCACCATTAACCACTTGAATGTACTGGTACATCACCACCATTAATCACTTGAATGTATTGGTACATCACCACCATTAATCACTTGAATGTATTGGTACATCACCACCATTAATCACTTGAATGTATTGGTACATCACCACCATTAATCACTTGAATGTATTGGTACATCACCACCATTAATCACTTGAATGTATTGGTACATCACCACCATTAATCACTTGAATGTATTGGTACATCACCACCATTAATCACTTGAATGTATTGGTACATCACAACCATTAATCACTTGAATGTATTGGTACATCACAACCATTAATTAACCCTTTGAGGGTCGACAGGCCCTCTCCGAAACTCGTTCTCAGGGTCGGCCAAATTTAAAAAAAAAAAAAAAATATTTTCTCTTATGAAAAGATAGAGAATCTTTTCCCGATCATAAAGACACCAAAAGTTTGAAATTTGATAGAAAACTTACGGAATTATGCTCTCGCAAAGTTAGCGGTCTCGGCGATGTTTACGCATCGGCGATTTTGCCCACTTTGAGCCCCATTTTCGGCCAATTTCACTGTACTAGTCGACAAAAAACATGAATAGTTCGCTAGAACTCCATTTTTTCTATCGAATGGGTGCAAGAAACCACTCATTTATGAAATTCAACTATCCAGTACAGTGGTCAGAATTTAGCAATTTTGCCAATTTCACACAAATTTCAAAAGATGCCAATTTCCGAATAGGGTCCAGAATAAACAAGAAAGACATTCCTAGCACTAAAATGACATTTCCTCTAGTCATTAGTAACGTCTCAAGGCCCCTCTTATATTCTTTTGCTTTCCACTTTGAATTTTTATTTTCACAAAAAATATAAGATTTACTGTTATGCAGACTACTGCATTAGTGTAAAAAATGGTATAAATATTATTGGTGCACTTGTGAAAGAATATTAGACTCACCAGTTGACGTGTATTGCACGCTTGGCACGATTTGTGTACTTTTGAAGTTTGGTAAAAATCGAACATTTCTGCTACTTTGAGCTCAATTTCAAGGCACTTTTCTTTGTAAAACCAGTCAAAATCATCTCAATTTCTGTAATATGTCTTCCATTCTATAAAATGAGACCAAGAAAACTAGAATACAACAATAAATACCATACGAAAATACACTGCAAAGTCGCTGATTTATTAAAAAAAAATGGTCAAAGTTTTTTTTTTCTCATTATGCACTGTGTGCTGCAGGATTTTTTTTAGACTGTGCACACTGACCACATAGACCCATTCTTTCATATGAAGGCCTACCAGCTTTCTCCCACTAGATTTGAGGCCGCTAGAATTTATGAGTACTAGTACGTCAAAAACCCCTACGCGTAAGACGTACTAGTACGACGAAAACCCTCAAAGGGTTAATCACTTGAATGTATTGGTACATCATCACCACTAACCACTTAAATGTATAGTAGAGCCCCACTTTACAACATTCTGCTAATACAGACTTTTGAAATTATGACCAAAACTCGATATATGGCTGCCCCTCCCCCCAACCTGACTCTCTGATACAGTCAACGTGCGCCACCCAGTTTGTTTACATTTTTGGTATGCTCCGTAAGCTCAATGTCTCCATTATGCCTGGAAACTTTCCAAAATTTCAAGTGTTTTAACCTTTTCACTGCCGGTCCTGTAATATTATGGCTTGTAAGCCAGTGTCAGTCCCGTAATATTACGCCAAAATTCAAGTGTCTTCAAATCTTGTGGGATAAAGCTGGAAGGCCTACATATGAAAGAAAGGGTCTGAGTGGTCAGTGTGCACAGTATAAAAAAATCCTGCAGTACGTAATGCATCATGAGAAAAAATAAAACTCCAACCGTGCATTTGGTTTAAAGCACCGACTTTGCTGTGTATTTTCGTATGGTATTTATTGTTGTATTCTTGTTTTCTTGGTCTCACTTAATAGCATGGAAGATATATTACAGAAATAGAGATGATTTTGAATGGTTTACAGACTAAAAGTACCTAGAAATTGAGCTCAAAGTAGCAGCAATGTTCGATTTTTGCTGATGTTCAAGATTATTATATCACGTCATGCATCCTATACAAATCAACTAGTTGGTCTAATATGCTTTCACAAATGCACTGATATTATTTATACCATTTTTACATAATGCAGTGGTCTGCACAACAGTAAATCTTCTATATTTTGTGTGAATAAAAATTCAAAATGGAAAGCAAGCATAATATAAGAGGGGCCTGGAAACGTGACTAATGAACAGAGAAAATGTTATTTTATTGCTAGGAATGTTTGCATTGTTAATTCTGGACCCTATTTTGAAATTGGCCTTACTCGAATTGTGTATGAAATTGGCCAAATTACCAATTTCTGATCACTTTATTGGGTAGTTGAAATTGGTAAATGGACGTTTCTTGTACTCAGTTGGTAGAACAAATGGAGTTCTAATGAAATAGTTATGAGTTTGGTTAACTAGAACAGCGGAATTGGCTGAAAATAGGGCTCAAAGTGGGCAAAATTGCCAATGTGTTAACATCGCTGAGACTGCTAACTTCATGAGAGTGTAATTCCATAAGTTCTCCATCAAATTTTGTACTCTTGGTGTCATTACCATCTGGAAAAGATTTCTATCATGTCATAAGAATTTTTTTTTGAATTCTTCGACACTCATTGCCAGTTTGTGAGCAGGGGTCTCAACAATGAAAGGGCTAAAGATATTTCATATTTTATATATGCTCTAATAATTACAGTGGACCCCCGCATACCGGACGCCTTGCGTAACGGACAATCCGCATACCGGACGCTTTGATCGCTAAAATTTTGCCTCGCATACCGCCCAAAAACCCGCTCAGCGCCCTTCGTCCGAGACGCGTCCAATGTGCGGCCTGAGCCATGCTCACATGTTCCGCCGGTGGCATTGTTTACCAGCCAGCCTCCGCGGTAACATCCAAGCATACAATCGGAACATTTCGTATTATTACAGTGTTTTTGGTGATTTTTTTCTGGAAAATAAGTGACCATGGGCCCCAAGAAAGCTTCTAGTGCCAACCCTACAGCAATAAGGGTGAGAATTACTATGGAGATGAAGAAAAAGATCATTGATAAGTATGAAAGTGGAGTGCGTGTCTCCGAGCTGGCCAGGTTGTATAATAAACCCCAATCAACCATCGCTACTATTGGTGGTACAGCTGCTGCTGCTGCTGTACCACCGTC